TTGTCTAGACCCCCACGTGTGTTATTTGTGTAATAAAAAATCAACTCTTAAAAAAACATAGTTAAATACAATATAATTATCAAGTATTTTTAAACACATGTTAAAATTTAGTTAAAAAAATTTGAATAATATGAAATATGGAATATTTGCTCAATTGTCTACATGATTTACAGGGAGTCGTGAAATAAATAATTTATAGAGATTTAGATATATAAAAGCTGTTCGTAAATACTGTAAAATTACACAGTAAGAAAATCCGATTATAAAAAAATAATTTAATTATAAATATAAAAGTAAAAAAAAAATATAAACAACAGAAATATATCAACAACAAAAATGTTGAAATTTTTCATTACTTCATTTATTGGAATACTTTCATTATTTCCTCATTTGAATAATGCGGAATGTTGTACAACAAAATATGAATTGGAGTTTAAAACAAAAAATAATAAAATCTGCTCAGATTTCGGTGGAAATATTATTCATGCAACACCTGGTTATTTAATTCAAAAATCAATTATTAAACCAAGTAATGATACAATATGTGATATTAAAGTATGTTCTGATGGCAAACCAACAAAAGGAATATATTGTGGTAAAGGACCATGTAATATTTTTGGTTGCAATTGTGATGGCGGTTGTATAGAAGGTGATCCAGTTATCAAATTTCGAGAAAATAATGGAGACGATGTGTACAATGTCAAATATAAAGAGTATATAATATGTCCAACATGTATGATAAATCCGTAATTTAGAAAGAAAAAAAAAACAATTTCTTTCATTTATAAACAATGATTTTAAAAATTATAAAAATATTCATGGTTATTTTTAATTTAATTTTAATTATTATTTTTTAAACTAATTTGCATTTTAATAAATCTAGTTATATATAGACAATAATTTGAGTATATATGACAAGAGAAATTAATAATAATTAATAAAATGAATATTGTATTGAAATTGTGTGAAAATATTGTGTTCATTACCATGAAAAATATACAATTTGTTCTTTAACTATTTGTTCTTATTTTTTCCCTTGATTTATCATTAATGACTAAGATATTAATTAATAGAGTCAAAATTTCTAAAACTGATCATAAATTAAAAAATTAAATTTTCAACATTAAATCCAAAAAAGAAATCTCTTTGATACAAAGAAAATTTAATTTGTTTCAATCAAATTATCAAAAAAAAATTCTCTTTGCTTCAAAGAAATTTTTTTATTTAATTCAAATAAATGTTTCTTTTGACTCAGCCAACGTGTGAATTCAATTTCTACGGTTTATTATTATAAAACATAGTTGGCTGAATTTAAATATTAATTTAACTATTTTTTATTTAAAAAAAAATAAAAAATCGTTAACTTTATCTGAAGAGAAAAAAATTTATTTAACGACACCTATGCTTTTGATATATCCATATACACGTATATTGATAAACTATATCTATTAAGTGTAAAAAATTTTCATCATTATTTGAACATATTTTAGTCACGATTGTTGATAAATTTTTCTTTTTTTATAATATTTAAATTTTTAAATCTAAATTTTTAAAACATGAAATTGAAATAAAAGTTTTAATGAATACTAAACATAAAAGGTTGCAGCTTACTTTTTTATTGACAAATGTTTATATATGTTCGTCGATAGCTTTTAAAATTATACATTATTTTAAAAAAATTTAACCGAATTATTTGAAAGAAAATTTCTTTGGGATAGTATTTAAATTCAATCGATTTGAAAAACACATATAGGATCAACAAAAAAATGTTAAAATTGTACTTCGTCTTATTTATTGGAATACTTTCATTATTTCCTCATTTAAATAACGCGGAATGTTGTTATAAATTTAATTTGAAAATTACAATGAAATATGATGAAGCCTGCTCAAATTTCGGTGCAAAAGCTGTATCTACTCATGTAATAGAAGAAGCACCATTCCCTTATAATTCCAGTCATGATGAAATATGTGTTATTCACGTATGTGGTAATGGTCTACCACTACCAGAAGGAAAATATTATTGTGGAAAAGGATCATGCAATGTTTTTGGTTGTAATTGTGATGGCGGTTGTATAGAAGGTAATCCACTTGTCAAATTTCGAGAAATGAATACAGATATTGTGGACCATGTCGAATTTTTTGGGATATAAAGAAGAGAAGAAAGAAAATTTTTAAAAAAGCTTGTTAAAAATAGACGATAATCATTAACATGTATATACGACAAGTGAAATTAATAATAATAATAATTACAATTAATAAAATGAATAAATTGTATTAATTACAATGAAAAATTTACAATTCGTTCTTTAACTATTTGTTCTTATTTTTTCTCTTGATTTACCATTAATGTCTAAGATATTAATTAATATAGTCAAAATTTCTAAAACTGATCATAAATTAAAAAATTAAATTTTCAACATTAAATCCAAAAAAAAGATTCCTTTGATTCAAAGAAATCAAAACAAAGTTTTCTTTGATACAAAGAAAATTTAATTTGTTTCAAACAAATTATCTTTGATTCAAAAAAAAAAATTCTCTTTGTTTCAAAGAAATTTTTTTATTTAATTCAAATAAATGTTTCTTTTGACTCAGCCAACGTGTGAATTCAATTTCTACGGTTTATTATTATAAAACATAGTTGGCTGAATTTAAATATTAATTTAACTATTTTTTATTTCCAAAAAAAAAAAATAAAAAATCGTTAACTTTATCTGAAGAGAAAAAAATTTATTTAACGACACCTATGCTTTTGATATATCCAAAATGAATAAATTGTATTAATTACAATGAAAAATATACAATTTGTTCTTATTTTCCCCTTGATTTACCATTAATGACTATGATTAATTAATAGTCACTTCTGAAACTGATCACCTAAAATTAAAAAATTTTATTTTCAATATTATAATAATTGGAAATAATTGGTTAGGCTATGCTAAGTATTGGATAGGGTAGCAATTTTTGTTGGGCTCTATAGTGCGATCAAATTAGTTTGCTGCTGCAACTATTTCTGTTGCATACTCTCAAGTTGGATACTGTAACAAATTTCGATAGCTAGTATATATACATTCCGTTGAATGCCTCATCCATCTCTCGTGCGCACAGTTACCTTTAATTTTGTTAGTACAACTATTTTGATTGGTGGGATATCTTTCCCTTTTTTACTAATATTTAGAAAAAAATAGATTTTATTAAATAAAAATATCTTTCATACACAATACGATAATAAATGTTTTTTTACTATAAAAACAAACATTTACTTGACCGGATATGAAATTTTCTTATTTGATTCCATTTATATTGTCACTTATATGGTAAATAATAATTCATTTATAGACATCAGTGAAATTATAATAAATGAAAATTTATTTTCATTTCTCTTATATTCTTCTTATATTCCCAGCTTATTTGTTAATAAAGTACTTAAATCTTTCTCTGTGAGAATTAACAGTGTTTCGAAATCTATGAAATCCTCTGCAAATTCCAAAAAAAACACAAATTTTGATCAACAAAACAAAATAATAATAACTTTATACTGAATAATGTAAACATAATAATGGCGTTGAATATATAAGAAATCGTATGTAAATCAATTTATTCAAAAATAATAATTTGGGAAAATAAAGCTGTTTCTCTCACACGATAATTTGATATAACACAAGACATGCTGTTTACATATCAAGTCACTCGAATGAAAACTTTCTTAAATTAAATTTCTACCAAATAACATGCATAAAATAAATACAATGATAAATAAATAAAATATGGGAAATAATGATGATCCAGAAAGCATGTGCAGTAAGATTAGAGGTTAGAGTCAAGTATTTGTATATTCATCAAGGATAATAAAAACTTACCTCGAAATGTTTTTATTAAAAAGTCTGCATGCTTCGGTGCAACGACTTGTAGAAATTTTATTGTGCTTTCATCCATTTTTTATCACAATAATTAACACGATTAACACTTTTCACGAGACGCGACGATATGAACCGTCATTACAAGCGCGGCATCCATATGCAATTAACACAATGCGCTTGCGCGTCACATGACTTACCGGTATGCTTCTCAATTGGTTGCCTCAAGCAACTTGGTTGAGGACGGTGGCCTACTACAAGCATGCAATATCCAATTTAAATATAAATTTTAAAATGATAATCTGACCAACGGTGATGGTTGATATATCATTTTAGATAGATGTTACAACAAATTCTCTGTTATCTAATAAAAAATGGATGCTTTAGCCAACCATTTTTCTCCGTGATAAACCACTTTTTTTACTTCTGTGATAAAAATAAATTTCTGAAAATATAAAAAAAAATTTGTTTCGTTAAAGTTATTAATTGCGAAATATTTAGCTGACTTAAATAAACAACTTTTTTCTCCAGTTAAAATTGATTAATTTAAAATCGATAAATTGAAAATTAATTACTTTTTCAAAAATTTAAGGCTTTGAAAAATTATGACCCAATAAATAATAATTTAGATACTTTAAAAACAAAAGACAAAATAAAAATCGAAATTTTTTTTTTTAACCTCAAGTTAGCTACAAAAAAGAAAAAATAAATTGACTCTTATCTAATTTCCCTGCATATAATTTCTACTTGAAATTGGTTATTAAAGCTTTTTGGAAAATTTGATTCGAGTATCGTAATATGGGGCTTGGAAATTAGCCCTATATCAGCCTACCTACCTATCTACCTACCAACACTGGTGATGATTATAATACCCATCTCTACCTGCCTATTGGTTGAAAATAATCGCTGCGATTGTTTTCTTTTTTTTTTTTTTATTATTATTTTTCTCTATCTCCTCTGGAGAATAATAGAAAAAAAGAAGAAAGAAGTCTGTATTAAGAAAAAAAAATCGTAACTGGTGGATAAAATAAGTATATATTAAAAAAAAAAAAAAACAAGTTTTGAGAATTTTCGGTACTGGTTTCGTGATCCAGTGACGTATTGCGAGACGTAATAGTGACGAAGCTTATTTTTATTATGTTACAGATTTGAGGAGAGGCACTACGCTTTCGAAAGGTATGGCTCGACAATATATGATTTTAATTAAATTCATTCTGGATATGAGGAAACTGGTTCAATCTCAAAATAACATTGTTTGTGCAATATATAATTTTTTTTTTATTACAGTTTTTTTTTTAATGGAACGCAGAATAAAAATTTAATTGTTATACGTATAATTAAAAAAATTTATATCAATTTTACTTTTTTTATTTACTATTTGAAATTAAATAAAATATTTTCTAAAATATTGAAAACTTTCAAATTGAATATTTTAATTTAATATTTTATAAAATATTGCAAAAAAATTTCAACATTTTAATTCAATGCTATATAAAATATTAAAAACAAATTTTAAATTAAACATTTTAATATTTTATAACATATTAAAAACAAATTTCAGATTAAATATTTGATTTCCTTAGATTCTAATTATCAATATTTATTATACAAATTATTATAATTGTTCCCAAATAAAAAATATCTCACCAGTTTTCTCTTTCTTGTGCAATAACTTAATATGATAAAAAAATGTTTAAATTTTTTTTTAAATATAATTTAAAATAATTTATTTCATTTATTATTTAATCTTATTATTTTAAGTACAGATTACCCTGAAAAACAAAATTTGATTCAAATAATCGGTTAACTGACTATTATTAAATAAATATTTATTTAATTATTATTTGATTAATTGTTTTATTTGTTTCTAATACATAAATTATTGTTTAAAACACAGTTTATTTAATTAAAAAAAAAAAATTATTTACTAGAAATAAATATTTATTTGCTAATAGTCAAGTAACCAATTATTTGAATCAAATAAAAAAAAAAATTTTTTCAGTGTATTATTTAGATAAAGAGAAATGAAAATATTTTATTGTTCCTTGGAATTTAAAAATAATATATTAAATAACTTTCGAAAAAAATAAAAGTTTAATTTATAAAAAAAAAAATGTATAACAAAAAAAATTGTTTAGTACTCCTTGATGCAAATGACACTGAAATTATGAAAAAAAAGTGATTAGTAGTGCTTCACTTGGACGTATTTATAAGTATAAGCGCGAAAGGGACGACGATCTCTCGCATCAGTTAATAATTATTCGTGAACGCGGACAATTAACTTTTTGTTACGGAGAAGGGTCTCTCTCTCGCGCACGCTACTCTATGATTTTGCGTATCGCAAAAATAATAACGTCTTGGTCGGGATCCTTCTTCGATCGACCCCTTCACGAATATTGCCGTTATATATATATATATATTATATTATAATCATCTCTCGATAAGTGACTCCCGTTTATCCTAATAATAATTCTCTTATTTATGAATTCAAATCACTGTCGGGCTCAGGGAAAAAAATCACCTATTTTTCTATTTTAATACAAAAAAAAAGAAAATGGAATCTTATATATTAAAACAGGAAAATTCCTCTTTCGATATTCTATCCTCTTAAAACAAGAAATTATTACCTCTTCAAGGCAGAGTATTCTATTTTTTTAAATACTTATTTTTTAATTTTTTTTTATATTATATTTTTTTATTATTTATTTATTATTATTTTTAAATTATACCTCTTCAAGGCAGAGTATTCTATTTTTTTAATAATTTTTTATCATTTCTTTATATTATATTTTTTTTATTTGTTTATTATTAATTTATTAATTTTTTTAAATATTTGTTTAATATTTATTTATTATTTGTTTATTTTTTATTATTACATTATTTTATTCATTTTCATTTATTTAACATGAAATGTATATTTATTTTAACTCACACAATTTTTTTTATATTTTTGTAATTTTTTTTTAACTTTGAAAAAATCTCACATTCTCAAAGGATCGAACCCTGGATTTCTATCGCGCAACTCGGGAACTCTAACCACTGGACCACGCTGCTTCATGAGAAACTTTTGAACTAGAAATGTTCTTGTAAGGTACGAGACAGAAAAATTGTTTATATTTGTATATATTTTTTTTTTATTTATTATTTATTTATTATTTGTTAAATATATTTATTATTTTATTATTATATTATTTTATTCATTTAACATTAAATCTATACTTATTTTAACGTACACATTTATTTATATTTTTGTAATTTTTTTTCAACTGAAAAAATTTCACATTCCGAAAGAATCGAACCCTGGATTTCTTTCCCGCAAGTCGGGAGCTCTAACCACTGGACTACGCCGTCTTATGAGAAACTTTTAAACTAGAAATGTTTTCGATTTAATTTTCATACAAAATTCTTAACCAATAAAATGTTTCATTGAAATATCTAAACACCTTTGTTTCACTAAATCGAAAAAAATGGATAATTTATATAAAAAATCAAAAAAAAAAAAAAAAAAAAAAAAAGTTATGAATTACTAATTTTATGTCGTGTACGTATTGAAACTTAAAGTAGAATTTAATAAGCAATTTCCTCCAATATCTAATACCGTCTCGGGGATCAAAGCTATCTCGTCTCCTTTTTATTTTATAAACGAAATAATAATTGAATCGCGTCTTTGGAAAGAACGCAAATTTCCATAATGCATGAACATTATTAAAAGTGTATTTTAATAATGTGACGCTACATTAACGGAAAGTCCGTCATTATCATATAAATATTAATCGCTCTTCAAATGTGATTATGTAAAAAGAAAAAAAAAGAAATGTAAGTGTAATTTTGAGGTTGTCAAAAGAGGTATTTTAACATATATACTATTGTATATGTGCTGAAAATATTGTCACCACACGTGGGAATGCGTTAATATAGTGACAACGCGAGTCTCGCGCGCGAGTTCACGTCGTTATATTATAATAATGCGACCGAACCGAATGAAATGAATGCTTTTGTTTTTCAAATTACTGCTCTTGGGCCCTCGTTTTCTTGTCGTGTCTCTCGTTTTTTATTATATATAGATTTACAAAGAGAGGTTCACTTTCGTTCCCTCCTTCGTTTGCATTTTGTTTAGTTTTCTTTCGTTCGCAAATTCTCTCTCATATATATATATATATATATATATGTTTGGGCCCTTCTTTCCGGTCAAAGACCTTTTTAAATATATATATATAAAAATTTGTTTTATTTGTTTTTTTAATTTTAGAAAATTTTTATTAATAAATTATACAAAAAAAACGTTTCAGAATATAAAAAATTTGTTTTTTTAAACAAAATAATATTATATATATATATTAAGGCAGAGAAAAATAATTTAAAACAAAAAAAATAATAAAAATAAAAATGTAATAATAATTTTAAAAAATAGTTGAAAATACGAAAAATATGACGAAACTGGAGGAATAGGAATAAAAAAAAAAAAAAAAAAAAAGGAAAAAAATCGTCTGTGATGAAAAATTTCAAATTGTATTGAGCTCTCTACACAATTCCCCTTGAACCCTCTCTCTCTCTCTCTCTAGCAATCGTTTAAAAGGCATTTTAAATCAGCGTGTCCTGAAAGAATTTCATAGTGACGCGGCATATAAAGGCATTCTCTCCCACCCCTTGTGCCCGATTCCCATTGATCAAAATTCTAATCAATGTTCTCTTTCCTATATATATATTCAAGATGATCGAAATCCCTTTAGCGATTCATTCATATGTTTGTCTATACATATATTAATTTTCTCAAAATGAATGAAAGCCAGCTTACTCACTGGCTAATTAAATTTAATTTATAGTGAAAATTTTCAATTTTTATTAATTTTTTTATTAACATATTTTTAATTTAATATAAAGATAAATTTAATTTTAATTTTATTTAATATTTTATTTACCTAATTTATTTTAATTTAATTAATAATAATAATTAATTATTATTTTAATAGTTAATTAATTTAATTCGAGAAATATTAAATAGAGGTGGAAGTAAACGAAAAAATTCGGGCAAGTCGTATCTATTTGTCTGAATGTTTAAGTTAAATCTGAATTATCATTAATCGGTAAAACAGATTTGTCCGAATGTTTAAGTAAAATCTGAATTATCATTAATCGGTAAAACAGATTTGTCCGAATGTTTAAGTAAAATCTGAATTATCATTAATCGGTAAAACAGATTTGTCCGAATGTTTAAGTAAAATCTGAATTATCATTAATCGGTAAAACAGATTTGTCCGAATGTTTAAGTAAAATCTGAATTATCATTAATCGGTAAAACAGATTTGTCCGAATGTTCAAGTAAAATCTGAATTATCATTAATCGGTAAAACAGATTTGACCGTTTCAATCAGTAAAAAAATTCAGTGAAATATAAGGATTTTCAGTAAAATATAACTGAATTTCAGTGGAAACTTAACTGAAATGATTCAGTTTTGCTCCAAAAACTATTTCATCAAAGGAAATTTTACTGACACCAAAAAAAAAAAAAAAATGTTTTCAAAATCCAATTTATAATTTCTTGGTATAAAAATTATTGTGAATCAAACTGTTTTTTGTCGCAAGATGATCCGTTTTTAATTGTTTTAATGATAATAAGATGAAGAAGAAAAAAAAATACGCGAGACTGTCTGTGAATGTCTACTCGGTAAGATATTTAATTGCTCGCATCGAAAAAGTAACTTCTGTCGATTCGAATCGACAGTTTCGTTTTATGGACATTTTTCGCGACCGCTCCAAATTAGTCCGAACGATTGTTAAGGATCTCTTGATCGAACCCCCAAAGTTCCTTTTCTTATAACAAAAACAGAGTGTTATGCCGCGACAATAGCCTTTCGTAGTATAGTATATATATATATATAGGAAATTGCCTCGAGCTTTGTTTTCCTTTCAATAACAAGTTTTAGAGATTTAAAAATAATTTTCAAAAATTTTTAACAAAACAAAAATAGTAATTAAAATTATTAATTAATTTTATTCTATTTTTTTTTTAATTAAAAAGAAATTTTGATAATTTTCTTTACAAAATAATTTAAGATAAAATTTTTATATTAACGTGAATTTTTAAAAATAAAAAAAAAATTTATAACTGTTTTAATTTTTTGTATAATACACGTTGAGCATCCACTTTATATTAAAATGTATGATAACATTTTGCC